CCTAGGCGCCAAACACGTCCGCCCCCCCCCCCCGACCCCCCCAAAATAGGCGTGGAGGTACAGCAGGGGGCTGAGCTGCGGCACAGCTCAGCTCAGAGACAATAGGGAGTCCTGAATGGAGATGGTCAACAGCAGCACCCTCAAAGGCTGGGATGCTACAGTGGGGGAGAGAGGGAGAACTATCCTGCTGTGGGCAGGTTAAAGTCATGCAAAGGATGTATCCCGCTTCCCCCCAAATCCCCCTGGGGTCCAGATCCTGCTTTTTGGGAGGGTCTAAGCACAGGATGGGCTGTGGAGGAGGGGTCTGGCTGCCATCCCAAGCCAAGCACTGCTAACGGCTCCTGCTCTCTCTAGGACAGCTCGTCTCCCCAGCAGATATCGCACCCCTGCTACCCTAAGGGATACCAGGAGAACATCACCGTGGCAGCCCTCTACGACAGTCCCTGTGTCCCCACGCCGAGCACACCCGGCACTGCACAGGCCCTCATGGTGTCGGGGACAGGAGACCCAGTGGCATGCAGGACCGCCATCCAGAAACTCTTCAACTTCTCCTGCGGGGCCCACCGGACATGCGGGTTCAACGGCATTTATCAGCCACCTGTGCGGGGGCAGTTCTTTGTAAGGAGCCCTCCATCCATGTGGCTGTGGTACGGTTGTGGGGTTTCTGGGATAGCAGAGACTGGCAACAGCCCAGAGGAATCTGCTGTACAAGAAAATTCTGGATAGTGCCAGGAATGATTGACACCTTGAAAGCTGGTATGTGCTCGATGCATGGGTGCTCAGCAGTGTGCCAGACAGACCTTGACCTCCAAGGTGCTCCATTCTCACAGCATCTCTCACTATTTCAGCATTGGGAGCAGTCTCCAGGACTGACTAGCAGGCATCAGCATTGGGGGGCTAATCAGAGAGGTGTCTTGCCTGAGGCTCCCCTGCAAAGCAGCTGGAATGAGGTGTGGGTGGGTAGCAGGGGCCTAGGTGCTTTGCTAATCTACCACCTTTACTCTTAAACACCCACAGGCCTTTTCTGGGCTTTATTACAACCTACACTTTCTGAACCTGACCAGTGGGCAGTCCCTGAGCTCAGTCAATGCCACCATCTGGGACTTCTGCACCAGAGACTGGGAAAAGGTAAGATCCTACCTAGGATCTGCCAGCCCTGCCTGCATTTCACACATCCTGGGCACAGATAGATTTCAGGACTTGTCTGCAGCCCGTCTTCCACAGTGTGCATGGACAGCTGGAGGGTCCTGGAAGGAGCACAGAGATATCTGTGCAGGGAGACAGATGGGAGAGCAATTTACAGCCTCCCAGGTTGTCCTTTCACCCCAAACTCAGGGGCTCCCAAGTCTTTGCTCCTGGTTGCTCTGCAGAGTCCTTCCCCACAGCATGGGTACACCAAGCACTGCTCCACGCTGGCAGCCTCTTCTTGCTCTTCCATATCTGCAGGTGCAGAAGGAGTTCCCCAACGTGGACAAGGCCTATCTATATAATTACTGTGCAGCCAGCTCCTATGTCCTCACCCTCCTGCTGCAAGGCTACAAATTCAATGACAAGACATGGCCCAACATCCACTTTATCCAAAAGGTAGGAAAGCTTCTAGCTGCAGCTAGCTTTCATGCTTTGTGCCATTAAATGAGTTGCATCTACCCTGTGCCTCCTGGGTGAGGGAGCAGGAGATAACAAGGTGGCACGGTCCCCTGCCCATGCCCCTCTGGCAGGGGAGCGAGAAGCGGACTGAGGAGCTCTTGAGTTACATTCACAGGCACCTGCTGGGGCATCTGTAGCTGCAAATTCCAATCTGGAATATGCTCTCCCATAGCTTGCCTTGCTAATGGGATATTTGCAGCCCAAGATGTACGCAGGTTCTGTGGCTGTGGAACAGACCCCTTGGAGTGCTATGGCAAAGGTCTCTTCTAGCTCTCCAGCTTGCCTGATACTTTGCAGCCCTTCATGTTCCTCATCTTTCTCCATCTGCCCAGGTCGCTAACATAGATGTGGGTTGGACCCTGGGCTATATGCTCAATCTCACCAACATGATTCCCTCAGAGACTCCCCAGAGAGGCACCGCACTCCAAAGAAGCATGTGGACAGCAGCCACAATCACATTGTTCATCATGCTTTTCCTCTGCTTCTGGCTGTTTGTGGCCATATGTCACCAGAGAAAATTAGCCAGTTATGAGACTCTCTAGTAACACTGGCCCCAGAAGCTGTTGAAGCTCCTTGGTCCTGCTGCCACACTTCTGTGAGGAGCTGCAGACTGGAGGAATCACACCCGTGTCCGGGAGCTGTGAACTAGTAATGCAGTGTACGAGTACCCCAGCCTGGTGATCTGGAACTGGCACAGACTTTATAAAATCTCTCTGTAACTGTGTGCTGTGTTGTGCTCCTTTCCTCTTCCTGCTGGTTAAGGATGCTTTAGAGATTGATGCTTTAGAGATGTTAGAGATGACATAGCTCTGTGGTGAAGGTGTGGGTACAGCAGTGACGTGGAGCAGTTGGAGGTGATGGGAACTGTGGGTCAAAGAAGAGAAAAGTGGCGTCTGGCAGCAAAAGGATCCTTGTAGGACTGGTTACTGCCTGCAACAGATACCCCCTGTGAGACAGACTTACAAAGGTCCTGTTCTGTCCAGGGGCAAGGACCTGCATCTCCTGAGACCAGTGCCAGTGAGCAGAGCAGGCCAGAGGTGGGCATAGGTGGGACTTGGGCTCTACCAAAGGATAGGAAGCTCTGTGAGGTGGGGAGATTGCAACAGCACCCTATTTTCCTGTATGAAGTCTCCTCTCTCATTTGGCTGTGCCACATATCTGTGCCCAGCAGATATCCCATCACCCCTTTCCAGCATACAAGGATATTTGGGAACTCTGCTGGGAGCTGTAAGTGGGTAGTTCCTGGGGTTCCCCTGCAGAGTGTCCCACTGGCGGGTGGTAGATGAGTGAGAGCTCCAGGCCCAGGACAGGGACTGCAGGTATCCATTCTTGCCGTAGTTTTCACACATCCTCCCTGAGCAGCCCAGGATCTGCCAGTTCTGAAGGGCCTAGTTTAAGGGCTTCATTTCCATGCACACTTAAGAAAAAGTTGGGCTCTGAAGCAAGGGAGATAGATAGCTGAAAAGAGGCCTGCTCCTGCAGTCCTAATGCATCCTTTCTACCTTTTACCGGCACATGGGGCGTCTTATCACTGCCCTGCTCTCTAGACTGAACCTATGCCACAAGGTCAGAGTGTGTGTCTGTGAGCATCCCTGTGCAGGGGCAGAGGCTGTTCTGCACATGCCAAGGCACAAGCATTCTCTGCCAGTTGCAGAAGCAGCAGCCAACCCGCAGTGTCACCACTGCTACCCCAAAGCCCTGCGGCTCTGTGTGCACATCAGGGCCCATCACCACATTTCACTTCACATTTCATTTCAGGAAATAGAGATTTGCACTTGCATTTCTTTCTCATTCTGCCCTGTGTCTACTTATTCATCACCTCTGGCACTGGGACTCATGCAGGGATTGGCTCTGCCCAGGGCAGGCAGAGGCTAGGAGCTGCTGTGCTATTGATGGAGTGGCTAGGGTGAGGTGAGGACACCATGGCTCTCTGAAGGAAAAGGCGCTTGTCCTCCTGCCCTGCTGGCTCCCTTCAGACATAACACAAAAGTTGTGAGGTCTCCAGGGGTGAAGGCCAGCTTGTGCCCTTTGCTCCTGACCCTCAACTGGAAGGACCCTTTGGCAGCAACACGCCCTGCTCCAGTGCTCTGACCAGTCTCATCATCTCTAGCTGGATGGTTTCTGGACTGGCTTGCTCAGACCTCACATCAGTGTCTCTGTGCAGTGCTGTGCTGTACCCTCAGACAACTTTTCCCTTCCAGGGCACCATCAGTAATACAGGGTTTTCTATCAAATCTCTGTTTCCCATAGCACTGAGCAATGTTTAGGAGGGGCTGGATTTTGCAGAGCCGCTATCCATGGACAAGGTGCTTGTTCCATCCCCCTCTCCTCAGTCCTCCACCATCATTACCAGCCTGGGACACACAAGTATTAAAATCCTTTTGATTCAGGAGCAAAATAACAAGTATTTCTCTTTGGTGCCTTTTGCAATGTTTATTTGGATAAGAGAAAAGCTGAGAGGCGCCTACATTTCTGCAGAGATAGCAAAGGCCAGCTCCTTGCTGCCAGGAGGCAAAGGTGCTTCTGACAAATAACTAGATGAATCACCCACAGGGCAGCTAATGAATGGGCAGACACAAAGGCAAAGGCAAAGAAGCAGTCACAGACAGGAAATCTCCCCAGAATCTGGCTCTGCTCTGTGCCCAGCACCAGAGCAGGCCTTGCAGCCTATTGAACTCTCAGCCTGACACCCATGGTGCACAGACCTTGTGCTGGTGGGGTCAGAGTCTGGTCTTCAGGAAGACACCCAAGAACAGAAATCCCTTCATCCCATAAAAAAGGATGAGAGAGACACCCTTGGGAGACATGGACCGTCCTTCTGATTCTAGATACTCAGTTTGATTTTTATCTCCAAAGCCATCAGCTGAGCCCATATGATACAAATTTAGGTGAGCCAGCTTGGGTACTCCAGAGCTTGGTGTGCTCCCAGGCTGGCAGACTTGGCAGGGACCTCTCTGGCTCTTGGAGACTGTGATTAGACCTGGCATTGCACCAAGCACCCTGAAACCAGATGCCTATAGCTGCACACTAACAGCCTGACACCTGGAGAGCTCTTCCACAGCCAGGTTGGCTTTCCACAGCACCAAGCTCCAGCCTGTGGGATGAAGGCCAAATCTGTTAACAGGCATAATGGCGTAAGAAGGCAGATAGGCACTGGCTGGCATTTCTGCAGTGCATAGGCTGATGCCAGCAGTCCTCAATGGGAGTGCAGCTCCTTTGGAAATGTCACGTGGTGCCCACCTCCACGTTTGGGCACAGTCCTATGGGAGGCCAGCCCTTGTTTCTTCCTTACTGAAAAGATCAATATGTTGAACATCATTGACCCAGGCTCAAGGTAGGGGCTGCCAGTCCTGCTGGTGAATGTGTGGGGGACCCTGGCTAAGTCAGCCCCCCAGCCCTGAGGCACCTGCCAGGCTCCAATATGCAGCCCAGCTCCTACAGCCACAAGCACATGAGGAGGGCAACAAGACCCAAGGCAAGAGTGAGCACAATGAAAGCAATGGCTGCAGCCCACAGGGAGGGATCATGCCCTTTCACATGCTCCGGAGCCTCTGCTGGTATCATGTTGGTGAGGTTCAGCATGTAGCCCAGGGTCCAGCCGATGTCCGTGCTCCCTGCCTGCCCAAGGAGAGAAGGGACACTGAGGGCAGCTCCAGCACAGAGCTCCCACTGGCAGCATTGATGCCACCATGTGCCAGGCTGGGCACAGGCACAGTGCACGTCTCAAAGCAGGATGTCTCCATCGGCCTGGCCACATGGCTGAGCTGCACAGCCGGATGTTAGCTGGGTACCACGCTGCCAGACAGCTGTGTCCGAGTGCATTACCTGCTGTCTGTACCATGCTGGGATGTGAAGCCAACAGGACTTTTCTGACCAGTGCTGCCCATGGCTTTTACAGGAATGCCGGCACCCGAATGTGGACGGCTGTCTCTTTTTCCCCAATGCTGCCTCTATTCCTGCCTACAGGCTGAGTTTGCTGCTTACCTTCATTTGGAAGATGATGCTGTTCCAGCTGGTCTCATTGAACTTGTAGGCATCAAGGAGGAGTGTGAGGATGTAGTTGGCGTTTGCGCAATAGCTACGCAGTCGCTCAGGCTTGTCTTTAGGGTAGCTAGAAGACAGCTGGGGGGCATGTGTAAGAAGGAAGGGAAGTTATTTCCAGAGGACAGCAATGAGCTGACAGCAGGCATTTCCATGTAGGGGCAATGCGCTGATGACTGCTCCATGAAGGGTAATGGCTCTGTAATCCCCATCATCCAGAGAAATATACTTGCTTCTGGACTAAGCAGGTATTTTGGACCCATCCAGACAGGACAGCTCCTCCCAGGAGGATTTACTATCCATTTCCACGTGGAAGCAGAGACACATTGGAGCTCATCTTGCCCCAGATTTTCCCATCTCAGCCTCCTTGTGCAAGAGGCTTCTGCTCTCTGCCCCATGATGGTCCTATCACACCTCTTGACTGTATCCATCCTCATCTGACTCCCCTCCAGAGTGGTACCAGCAGCCAGTGACAAGGGAGTGACTATTGTCTTCACCTTCCCTGGCTGCTGCTTTCCCTATGTTGCTCATGTACACAATGAGCAAGGAGGCACCCCAAGGGTTGGTGCAGGAAGGCCATGGCTCCCTCACAGGGCTCAGGGATGGCTCTGGTGTGTATGGCACAGCTCAGGAACCAGGGAGCCTTGCCCTGGGGCATCCTCGCTCTTCTTCCCCTGTCCCAGGACCCCTTCACTTGTGAAGCTTCCCCATAGCCTCCCATGACCCATCATGGGAAACATACGTCTTCCCAGCTTCTTGTGCAGAAATTCTGAATGGTCTCCCTGACAGTGGCCAGAGGCTGCCCGTTGGTCAGGTTGAGGAATCTGAAGTTATAGTAAAAGGCAGAGAAGGCCTGAAAGGTAAGAGGTAGAAATGTAATTGAGTAACAGCAGGGAAAAAAATACCCTAGGGCAGCCTCCTGCTGCCTTCCTGGAGTCAGGAAGGGCTATCGGCAGGGGCAGTTTTCACCAGATTTGTCCCACCCTTGCATAATCCTAGGGCATCCTTTTCCATGTTCCAGCAAAAATGATCAAATGAAAGGCATACAGGCCTACTGGCTACAGAAGTGTGTGGAGCGCAGGCAAGACCTAATCTGTAGGCTTCTGGCTATGTTGGCTTTTGACTGAAAACTTAGTGTTCAGGTAAGCATCTCTTATTAAAATGGTTCCTTTTTGAGAGCCAGCTGGAAAATCAGACAGCAGAAATATCTGGTAGGCCGTAGGAGAGTGGCAATTTGAGTGCTTTGTGCCCCCATTCTGCCGCAGGAAGGTGACATTGCCCTGAGATGCCCTGGATGGGCCATGTGGCGCAGCATGCAGGTATACCACAGCCCCAAGGAAGATGCACTTTGCAGAATTTACTCCTGAGAGAAAGCACCTCTGTGTCTGGCAGCAGCACCCTGTCACCTGGGGAAAGGCACCATGCAGACGGCTGCAAGCAACCCTTATTCTGCCCCTTGTCCACAGCTCTGCAAAGGCCTGGAAAGGGGCCTCTTAATGGGACACAAAACATCCCCCTGAACAGGACAGTGGTTTCTAGAGATAGCAAGGGGAGTGAAAGGACAGGATTTGCCTTACAAAGAACTGCCCACTGACAGGGGGTTGGTAGACACCATTGAAGGTGCAGTCCTGGCTCTGCCCACAAGCTGAGAAGTTGAACAGCTTCTTGATGGCAGCCAGGC